TACTGCCCGGGAGGAAAGAGCTCGACCCCCAAAAGGAAGATAATGAAGGCCGAATACCACTCTCGCACGCCGCTTGGGATGGACATGAAGAAGCGGCGAAAACGCTGCCGGGAGGTCGGCCCCGAAAAGACTGATAACGGTGGCCAGACACTGCTCTCGAGTGCCGCTTGGGACGGGGATGGGGTGGTGGTGGGAATGCTACCCGTGCGTGAAGATGTCTACTCGGCAAGCCAAATAAAGAAGGCCAAACACTGTTCTCGTTCGCTCCTTGGGATGGGCACTGGAAACTGGTGAAAATACTACCCGGGAGGAAAGAGCTCGACCCCCAAAAGCCAGATAATGACGGCCGAATACCGCCCCCACATGCCGTTTGGGGTAGACATGAGGGAGGTGAAATGCCACTCGGACGGGAAGATGTCAGCCCCGACAGGCCGGATAATAATGGCCAAACATCGCTCTCGTTTGCTGCCAGGTGTAGCTATAATAGGGGGGCAGCACTACTACACTCTCGCAAAGCGGTAGCCCCTAAGTTAGCACGATATAAGGCCTAGAGGATACCCCCTCGCTGAAATCACCCAGCTTCCTTTTCGGAGCACACTACTCACAGGACTTGCCCACCGACAGACCCATTGCAGTAAAGAGAAGCTCATGAAATAGGGCCGTGAATGCGCATACATGTCGCCATACCCATGCGAGCCTTCCGGAGATTCAGGTTCACAGTCGAGTGGGGTTTTGCGGTTTTTCTGTTTGTAAAGTATCGTACGGTAGAGTTTGGTCCGTGGGAGAACAGTTTCTATCGTCGTGAAAAGGTCTAGTGTTTAGCTTGCATTTTTTAGCCTATCATATTGAAACCTCCTCTGGCTGTAAATTCTTACCCGGGCGTTTTTTCTCGTGTTCCTATTGCAAATATTTTTGTTCCTTTGCTTCCCTCCGGAGTAGTATCTTACCACCTCCTAGCGTCTATGCGAGCAGGGTGCAAGAGCGGTATTCGGCCATCATTATCTGCCTTTTCGGGGCCAACCTCTTCCCTCCCGGCAGTGTTTTCGCCACTTCCTCATGTCCATATCAAGCGGCGTGCGAGAGCGGTATTCGGCCTTCATTATCTTCCTCTTCGGGGTAGACCTCTCCCCTCCCGGGTAGTATTTTCGCCACTTCCTCATGTCCATAAGTAGTAACAGATGAGAGCCGCGGTGCTTCCCCCTATCGTCTGGTCTGTCGGCCGACCTCTTCCTCTCCGAGTAGTATTTCCACTATTCCCTCATTCCCACAAGCAGCAGAAGGTGAGAGTGGTATTTGGGATCTCGCTTATCGAGGTTAAAATCCCTCACACGAGCTGTAATTTCACCCCCCCTTATGCCCACTCCAAGCTGCGTGCGAGAGTGGTGTTTGGCCGTGATTGTGCAGTTCGTCTGATTGACATTTTCCCGTTCGAGTAGCATTTTCATGACCCCCTCATGTCCATTCCAAGTGGTATTATAGAGCTGGCGGACGGCCGTAATTATTTAACCTGCCTGGTTCACATCGTCCCGCCTGAGCAGTATCTTCACCGCCACCCCATATACACCCCAAGTGGCACGCGAGAGGGGTGTTCGGCCGCGATTTCCCGGCACGTTAGGGCTGACATCCTCCGATTCGAGTGATATTTTCACGACTCCCTCAAGTCCATTCCAGGAAGCGCTCAAGAGCGGTATTAGACCGCAATTATCTGGCTCCCGGGGTTGACCTCGTCACACACGAGTAGCATTCTCCCCACTTTCTCGTGTCCATCCTAAAGAGCGAGCGAGAGCGGTGCTTGTTCTTCGTTATCAGGCTTGTTGGGCAGACACCTTCACGCAGGGGTAGTATTTCCACCACTTTTTCATGTCTGCCCCAAGCGGTATGCGAGAGCAGTGTCTGGCCTCCATTATCTGACTTGCCGAGGCTAACAACTTCCCGTCCGAGCAGTACCGTAAGAGATCGAATAACCAGACCACATCCTATTTAGTCAGAAATTTCCTTTTTCTGGAGAAGGGGCGAAATACACACCGAAAACATGGCTTCCGAGACAAAAGAAGAGATGCCGCACCTTGCCGGGAGAGCCAACCTCAACACCCTAGCAAACGGTGCGATTATTCAAGTTCTTGCGGTACTCGAGCACCCAGACACTCGCCCTTGCCCACAACCGGGAGATTCGAGCGTAGTATTGTATCACTGTAATGACCTTCCTAAATAGGAAGGTGATTTACTACACTTCAGATGGCTTGGCTGTCGTTAAAGGTCCTGCATTATTCGTACAACCGGCACTCTCCAACTAACTCTCGGTTACACGCAGGGATGTCACGCAGAATCCTAGTAGGCATCACGCAGACTACTAATTATTAAGGATTTTTTTATCCGCTAGCCTTTCCGCGACCCCGATCGGGGGAAATCAGTTTAAGCATTCTTGTAGACGTGTACTGGAAACTTCACGTCGATGCCCCCGCCCCTGGGCGAGCAAAAATATAATGCGAGAAATGAATATAGGAGCCTCACGTTTTTCCCGGGGAGCCAAACAGCGATGATAACACTATACCCTATCTCACTGGCTCTAGGTGTCTACCCTAAAGTTAGAGGAACGGTTAATTTTGGTTAACCTGCGAAATTATACCTGCGGTAGAGACATGTTTTTTCTCCTTTAACTGCTAGAATGTAGCTTCGCCCGGGACAAGTAGTCTAGGTCCAGACTGGGGACTGAGGCAGATGGATAAACGGATTTAGTGGCTATAATACGATAGAATTGCGTCTTTGAATGAAATGCCATAGTATATGAAAACTATATGAAAACTCGTAGTACTCCTTTTGGCAAGCTTCACTCATCATTGTGCATAAAGAATAAAGTCCGAAACTAGTTTTACCCCCCCCGGCAAGGCAACTTCGGTATCCGAATAAAATACAGGTATTAAGATTCGCTCCCATCCCATGACTTGTAAAATCCTCAGCTCCGAGCGTCTCCGGATGTTTTCACAATGTATCACTCGATATTTTATTTTGCGTGATTGTTGCACAGAGATGGAACGGGAGACAAAAGGATTATATGGGAGGACGAGTGGAAGGAATAACTTGCCCGAACTTCTAGGTGGGATAAACACACCGCTCAAGTGCGTATGATATAACGATCGTAGATGTCAAACTGCTACTTTTGAACATCTCTGATACAATCAGTGACTGTCAGCGAAAACCCGAACAGGATTTACTCCAACATGGTTCTTTTTTTTTCCTCCCCTTTCCCTTCCCTCCTCCCCAGAAGGAAAACTTGGACTCGTGTCTTTACGTTAGATCAATTATATAAGCTAAGCGTTCAGTTCTCATGTTGTATCCGAGTGGGTATCGTCCCTTCGCTTGGTGTCGAATTTCACAGATTTTAAACGAAGGAACCGTTAGCAAGAAAGTATCGTGGAGGAGGGAGGTTGCAGGAAAAATGAGAGTGCACCAGTACTGTGCTATGAGCCACTAGCAAAAAAAAGGAGATTATATTTTTATTATGATACTTCGAAGAGTCTGGTAAAGGACCTAAAGACTTCTCCTTCTTTGGCATCACTCCCAAATAGAAAAAACACTACGAAGGAATTCACCAAGTGGGCCCCGGGACTGGCCTCGTATTCAATTACGGTATTTTTGTAGGAGATATTTCGCTATAATCTAGAATCCCCTTCACAAATATACAGAGACGTGTAGTATCCCTCCTCTGATGATACAACTCGCCCTTCTGCGAAACAAAACAATCAATACTCTTTCCCCCGTATAGTTCCCTTGACACCTTGGTTTCTATCCCGGGAGCTCAAGCGGGAGCGCCGTGCCCTTTTCCTCTAACGCCCTTCTCTTGCGATATCTTCATACAGACTCATGAGACCCAGTGTGCTCCATTTAAATCCCACTCATCATACCAAGAGTAAAGTTCCGGGGGTTATGCCTTCAAATACGTCCCCAGCGACTTTCCAAATTGCCCCCTAGTCCTGAGCGGGAATTCTAACGGCTTAGAGCTGGTTAGAGATTCCAATTCCTTCGCTGAAAATCCTATTCAGGGGCGTTCACACTCACAATGCAAAGCTCGTCCTTCCGTTATACCACCAATATCTTTCCCACTGGTCCCAGTATGGTCTAGCCGAGAACCTCTCTGAAACCATCACGAGAAACTACCAGCAATGCTAGCCACAATTCCTTAATCTCCAGACCCTCTCGCCCATGGGCTGCTGCATAGTACTTCTCCTTTGTTTCGGAGCTCCATCTTTCAAATAGCGTCCTTGGCAGCTGCACCCCCCCCCCGAATACCGCCATACTCATAGCCAAATTCGACTGCATGCGCCAGCGGGTAGCCGAACGCAGGGACATCCATCGGATCGGCCGGGAGTGCCGAAGGATCTATCTCCCCCTGATCGGCAGAGGAGAAAGCTACTTCGAATTCTTGTTTTCGAGTGCCGGCTTCTTGGGTATTGTAAGCAACGGCTTCTGGATGGTTGGGTTTAAGGTATACTTTTCCAGCACGCAATACCACATTATGGAGGTTATCTATATAAGAATATCTCATTAGAATTCTATCTAGATCTGTATACAGAATCGCAAAGCAACATTGTCAGAGGGGTCTTGGATAGCACACCTCTCTACTCAAGAAGAAATGCACAGGAAAAAAAAGTATCGAGGGGACAAATAGCATAACCCACATTTCCCAGTTCATCCCCCCTTTGCCCAAAACTCCTCCCGGATACCAAATAGATCTTCATTAACCGCCTTGACTTTTTCTGCGGGCCTCTCGGACTGTAAAGAGAAAAAAATTTCGCCGAACATTGCAGAAGCCTAAGGGCCCCACCCTGGCCCGGGGAGAATCCTACCACACCATACTATGATACTCCCGCAATAATACTATGCTCAGACCTTGGTTGGGGTCGCTGGGGTCGTGCGTGACCGGTTTTTTTTTTTTTCGTACGTGACCGGTTTTTGGTGTCGCCGCTTTTTAGGGTCTCAGCGTCCCACCTTCGTGACGGGTGGTCTATATAAGAAGTCCAAACTGCCCCCCTCCTTTCCCTCTCCTTCTTCCACCAACAACCACAGGAGCGAATCCCCCTCCACTCGATAGCAAGTTCCAACCTTCCTATCAACAAATCCCCCTTTGGCAGCATATTCTCCATCACCTCGCCAGCAATGTCAACTCTCACCGCTCTGGAGATGGCTATCGAAGCCGAGGCATTTATTCACCAGCGTTACGGTGGGATCTCGTTCCACGAGTATCTCCCCTTGCTCACCGATGGGACTTTTTGCTTTGAGGGATCGGACGGAGCTCAGCTCCAGGTTTCCCATATGCTTCCTACCAAGTGGAAACCTACCCCCGAGCCGCTCAGGGTTTCTTTCAATCCGTCCCCCCATACCATCGTCGGGACTCATCTCACTCTTCATGACCGCCCTGTCTACAAGCTTAGCGATGGGTCCATTCTTGTCGTTTCCGACCCCACCACTAGCCCCACCAGTTTCCAGCTCACGGATATCACTTTCGATGATCCTCAGCATGAAGTCACTAATGAAAACCGTTTTTTGCGCTTTTTCATCAAGGCTGGTCAAGACCTCTCATCTCATGAGATCAGTGTTCGCAAAATTCAGGAGAAGGGTATCAAGCGCCCTGCCAATGCGTAAGTACAACTCTACCAACCTACAAGCTTCATACGCTCATGCAGTCACAGATTCATTTTGTTCCGGACCGAGAGGATGGGTTCCATCAAATCCCAATATCCGGGGATTGGAAACAATGACATCTGTATGTAGTTCTCATTCCCTCTTATTAAAACTTCATTCCTAGTATCACCTTCACTAATAGTTTCGATAGCCAAAATTCTTGGTCGTATGTGGCGGGATTCCCCGGACGAGGCGAAGGAAGTGTATAAGGTATAGCATCTCACTCAACTACTAGTTGACCTGGCTAACAAATTAATAGGCAAAGGCCCGTCAACTCGCGATCTCCCACAAGTTGATCTACCCGAACTACAAATACACCCCGCGCCGTCCTTATGAAATTTTAAGGCGATTGAATGGGAATGTAGATCCTGAGATCGTAAACGAACCCGGAAATACGGTTGCAAATGACCTTGGGGCGCTCACCCAAAGGTTTATCGCCCATCCGACCGCCGCCACTCTCAATGAAATTATCGCGGAGGCAGGGCAGATCATGAGCGCCCTTGGCTATACTGAGTAAGCCACCTCGGCAGAGGGGCTTGTGTGTTCCTTGGGTGATATTCTTTTAATGGGAGGGAGGGTTGTGTCTGTTCTTCATGGATCACTATCTTAGTTAGATAAATTTGTATGATCCAAATAAACTAAAATTGCTCTAAAAACGTGCGTGAGAAACCCAAACACCAAACCATCAATTACCATCAAGTTCAGTAGGGGTGAGTGATGTACTCGTGCGTCCGAGCCAAGAATGGGCGCCTCTTTCGCAATAGCTCTCCCAACCCTGTAAATAATAGTATTAATGCTGTTTTTTGAGTAGTGCATATGTGGCCACTACAACATATAATAAATATCATGAACACTCATACAAACATTTCCACTATTATACTAAATCTGATACATTATGATACGCAATAATTGCTCCTCTTATAGTGCTTGTAAGACTTTATTCCTTCATTGCACTATTCTAAATGTTAACCTTGAAGTTAAATTTTAATCACAGGTATATACTGACCTTCAGGAGCTTTATCTATTCATCCAATTCAATGCTCTAAAGTCTTCTTAAGTATTGAAAATATGGTCTCACATATGATATCATTCTCACCAGGTGCCAGTATTTTGTGCTATCATCGGAGCTCACAAACAGTACAGCCACTATATCTTTTATGGTCTCTGGGAGCTTTTCCGAAAGGGGCGCCCATTCCTGGCTCGGACGCGTGAGTACCCTATGGGCCACAGTGCCGAACCTACAAAAAACCCCTAATATGCCTAGACAATTATACTGTAGGATAGCTCTTGCTTTCAACTAATGCTAACCAAGGGGCCGCTCGGCAGTACTCGGGGGTGCATGAAAGCGACGGGCACCCCACGACGTATGTGGCACCAGATTATGGTGCATGTTCAAGCACTAGTCTTCAGCTCTCTGGTCCTGACCACAGGCAGTTTCTAAATGGAAAATTACAAAATAGTAAAATGAAGATTAAATGTTGGTCAAGGAAGACTATAGCAATAGTGAAAATGAACAGTGAAATAAACCACAGGACAGCGCATGGTAAAAAGAGCAAAAAAAATACCAAGACCACAAATACAAAACAATTACACAACTCAGAAGTGGGGGAAAAACTCTTCACTTCAGCTACCACTCTCTCAACTGTTCAAAATGTTGTAGGATATGGTACAATCTTAATAACTCTGTATGAATATACAATGTAGTAGAAAGAGTGTATTGTGGGTAAGCTAACTTATTACCTCCTATGATAATCAATGAGTATAGCAACTACAAGAAACATATTTGAACATCCTGCTTATTCAACTTAAAGATAAGTAGACATCCTATATTGGAGTAAGGGTTAAGTATACCATAGTCCTTTGATCATAAGCGAATCATCTAATATGTTCTTTAATCAACACTCAATTCCTAATAAATATCCTTCTATGGTATGATTTGTCTTTTGGAGTCAAATGATTCTGTAGTGCCATAATATGAAGGTATTTATTATATGTAGTTTCCTTTTAATAGATCACAGAGTAGTAATCACTCTATGGTCTATGCATTTTCATATTATTGCCAACTCTGTTGAAGCTATACAACCTGTTAACTTGAACTCTCTACTACCCATATCCCTATACAAAATCGATTTTATCATGTGACATTATACTGTACTACAAAATACTTATAAGAGAACAATATATTATTTTTCATTGAATTATAAAGAGTAAAAGTTTCCTGCAGCCAACTTGTTTGATTCAGACTGGTCATATACTGTATTGCTAACTCTTAGTCATTTCACTTCATGTTTTATTACAATGCATGATATATACTACTTATATATTGTACTAAGCCTGAGACTAATATAACAGGAAATACTTTGGAGTTTGACTTTTATACAACTCTGGGGCCCCCAGGTCTGAGTTCTTAGAGTTTTATTGTATTTTATTTCATATTATAGAATATGGTATGTTTGGTATGATATAAGATATTTTAGGAAATTTGTATTTATTATAAAGTACCCTATCAAATCGTTCCGTATGATGCCCTTTTTACACCAAAAACATGTATTTTTACCCCCTCTTTAGACACCATCAATGTCTATGAAAATCTGCTAAAATCTCATGCTACATTATCAAAACCCAGGATAACATGTAAAACTTTGCAGAGCTCTCAAAACCTATAAAATTGTGGAGATAGCATGAGCCAAGTGCATGGTATGTGGTTGCCATGTACCTTTTTCTATGGAGCCCCATACAAAATATTAAGTCACTTTTGGACTTGGTGATACCATTGTATGCTATTGACTCAATTTCATCATTTTTTATTCATGCTTCTATGAGGGTAAGGCCAAAGTGATTTCCTATCCAATAGCAAAAATTTAGTTGTTTTTAAGGAGGCAGTGGTGGGTATTGTGGCTCCGAAAATGTTGATTTTTAGCCATATTTGGTGTAAAAACTCATGTCGTATGGAACGATTTGGTAGGGTACTTTACTTCTTCATTTACTCCCAATACAGCTTATAAACTATACCTGAAAAGAAATTTCAAAACAATTATAGAAAAAATTAGGAAAAAAAATTTCTATAAAAGAATATCAAATCTTTAGTACTTACTAGTAAGATTTATACTACTTTAAGACAAGACTTTTGTAACTTTCTGATATATTTATCTTTCTAAAATGAGATCTATCAATTATATCTTAGGTCTACAAGTCTTAAAAATAATGCATGAAAATATTAAAGCTTTGTTTATAAAAAAATCTTGTTGAATATTTTGTAGATTATTACTATATTTAATATACTATTACCTGGAACCTAATAGGTTAAATAGGAATTTATATCAGATGATTGATTATAATAATATTATAAAATAGTATTTTAAAAATTCAGACCTAAAGTCCTCAGAGTTGCACAGAAATCAAACTCTAAAGCATCTCTCATTATATCATCCTTAGTGCTGTGTATAAGTAGCATGTACCATAGTATTATTTTTGGAGATTGAAGCTACCCTATTATTTATAGTTCTTTATTATTGATTTGATTTAAAAACTATAAAACCTGTTCCCTATTTCAATAAAAGCTTTACAGACCACTAGTAAAATTTATGCATTTGAGGATTTAAAGGTCATAGATTGAACTACCTCGTAGCTATAGATAGAGTTGTAATTCCTAATTTTTGATTCATGCATTTTTTGTTGTAATGCCCTATACCCTCTCTGGAGTATTTTTTTTTTTTTTAAATGGTCATTTCAGAGGCACCCATCCTTGAGCAGTATAAGTTACAGTCTAACGCTCTCACACCTCTCCTCTCTACAACACACAACCCCAAAATTCTCAATCCAACAACACCCTTTGCACACATAAAACACAATTTGTTTGCTTTGCTAAAATGAACTCAAGTATTATTTCCATACTAAAAACCCTAAATTTAATAGTGATGGCTAACTTAGAATCATAGTCCAAGATATCCGTCTCCGTCGTGAGAGAATGTTCAAGGCTGGAGTGTTTCTTGCTAGAGCAATGGAAGCAACTGCATGGAACCCTGGAAACCTAATGGTCGCAATCGCCATCCATAAGAATCCAAGTATTTATGCGGTTAAAGCTATTGAGTCGTCCCAGAGCTTGCTTAATGAGGCTGCTGTGAGTGATGACAGATTGCTCAAGATGGATCCCATCAAAGACCGCCAGCCACTGGCGAATATCCAGAATACACTCCTACAGATTGGAGGATTACTCACCTTGAAAAAAGATCTCTATGCTGCGCTTAAAAATATCAAATTGCGTCTTCAGGAGCTCCAGGGAGGTATGTCTAACAACATTGGTCAGGCTGTTGCAGAGGTTCACGACTTTGTCTGTTTCGCCACATTTGTCGACTTGATCCACCCGCAAAGCTCCATCTTGACCTTCCAATCCATCAAGGAGGCGGAGATTCGCGCATCCAAGATGCCATACCACGAGGCTCGCCAGGCGTTTATCGAACTCCGCCAGGCTTACGACCTGCAGGACCCCGTTGAGGGATTCCGTCTAAGCAAAGCCAGGGAATTGCCTGCAATTACTAAGTGCATCATGGAACAGTGGCACAGAGGTTATGTTTCCCACGCCTCTGCAACTGGAAAGGTAAGTATAAAAAACCACCCCTTCTCTCAGTATTTCTTATCTAGCACCCCCTACCCTGCACTATACTAACATCAGCACGTAGGAAGTTATTCCTTTCAAGACCGTGTTTGGATGGTGGAGTCAGTTCAATCCCTCATTTCCGATTGATAGCGTCGTCAGCTAACAATAAACGGCCCCCGTTTACAGTCAATTATCAGCGCAAATTTATCAGCCCTCCCCAAGAGAAAACTACGCCGGTTGTGCAAGAACTTATCAGCAAAGCCTATATCTCGAAGACCAAGTTGCCCGAGGACGAGGACCAGCAACCATGGATGCAAGAAGACAAGGAAGCTTTTAAGGCCGTGACCGACCTAGCCATCTCTATGACCCCACTTTGCAAAAACGTCCCCTACCCGGAGCATGTTAAACCAAACCCCCAGAAAAAAAAGCAATTGCCGATCTACACCCAGTTCGAAGTTGACCCTCAGAACCAACCGCTCTGCCAAGAACTCCAGAAGCTGTTGGCTCAAATTTACGAGCTTTTCGAAGAAAATTCGTGCAAAACTTTTACTATCATGACCAACACTCACTATGGCAAAGTGGAGAACTACCTTAAGTGCTCTACTCAAGACCAGTTACTGTCTTCGATAAAGCACTTGAAGTAAGTTACCTTCCAAGCTTCAAAGTTTTTTATTACATCAAAGCTAATCTCCAACAGTGCCGTCACCTACTTCTTCACTTCGGTCCGCCAGGTCAGGGTTGTAGTTTCCAAGGATAGACCCTGGGCGAGTCCTGAGCACCGCAAGGTTGAAGTTCCGATCCTTGATGCCGTTAGCAAGGTCTGTAATGATCCCACCATTACAGACGAAGAGCATCTGGCAGAAATTACCTGCAAGAGCTTGCCTCAAGTTGGAATGCACTGTAAGTTCTCCCAGTCACTAGTTTCGGATATTTGCTGACTGCCGAATGTAATACCTGGAATAGTCCTTATCAACTACCGCGGTCCTATTCACGGTCCTGTTCCCGGTCATGTTCACGGTCCTGGTCACGGTCCTGTTCACGGTCCTGTTCCCGGTCATGTTCACGGTCATGTTCACGGTCCTGGTCACGGTCATGTTCACGGTCATGTTCACGGTCCTGGTCACGGTCCTGTTCACGGTCCTGTTCCCGGTCATGTTCACGGTCATGTTCACGGTCCTGGTCACGGTCATGTTCACGGTCATGTTCACGGTCCTGGTCACGGTCCTGTTCCCGGTCATGGTCACGGTCATGTTCACGGTCATGTTCACGGTCATGTTCACGGTCCTGGTCACGGTCCTGGTCACGGTCCTGTTCCCGAGGGTCACTAAACTCTACTATTCCAAGTAGCGTTTGATAGTTGCCCCCTATCAACAAAAGGTGCCAAAGTTTACAAGTCTCTAGGTCGTCGTGTCTTTAGATAGTCTCATTAAAACTTTATGCAATCTCCGGTATCATGAGATTTGCCATAACTTTATGCAATCTCCGGTATCATGAGATTTGCCATAACTTTACTTCTCCCTATCGTAGAAACCTGTGCATCCATATTACGAGAATTGCTAGCCAGACCCCACCAAAGATAACCCCTCTCTCTAAGGCTTGAACTAAATCCCAGTCACGCACCCATAATACTAACCCGTCGCCGACAAAGACCTATATTTTGAGCGCATCTCTCCAGCCTTGCAGTTCCGAAGCGCAGTAGTTTTCAGTAAGGATGCCGGGCTCAATAAATTGAGACATCGCCCCCCAGTATTATCATGTCAGTCTGCAGGCAACCGCAGCGGATCATCACTTTCTACCCAAGACTCTAGGTGACTTCAAGAACCCTGTGGGAAGCTACCGGGGAGCATGTTCAAGCTGAATTAAGAGTTTTTCGCGCACCTCCCCACACGTTCGGAGGGATAGTGACGAAGAAACATCCCTTTTTTTTTTTCTCATTACTCCCTTAAATCATAATAAATCACTCGCTTAAAAATTTGCTTTAAAATTTAATGTCTTAGCACAGTCGGGGCCATCAACCAACCCCCCTCCCAGACTATTATATACAGGATAACGGGAAGAACAACAGACACCCCGGCAAATTTTTGCGGCGATGCGTACTAAAGAAATCGAATAGACCTGTAATCTGGGTTCTTCCTCCACATCCCGGGATAAAATACCCGGGTAAAATCCTAGGGAGAACGGTATTGACTACAATTCGCGGCCCCCAGTCATTGCCATATCCCCCGCGGGGGAGGGGGTGACTGCCCGCCCAGTCGCGAATACAGACTTGGATGGGACAGTAGCGCTTAGTCGTTTCCAGTTCTGCAGAGTGCCATTACGGCCAACTACTAACGAAGAGTGTCTGCCCGGGAGGCAGAGCATATGGCAATTCTAGAAGCCCTCGCCTGAAAGAAAAAGGCTTGACTCAATTGCCACCTCTGGTATGTCACCTCATCCCCCATATTACAGCCTCCGGCAGTTCTCGAAGGTAACGAGAGGCGAAGGCGATTGTCTCAAACAATGTGGAGCATGGTGGCTGATCCAGAGCACGAAAATTTCGGGAACAGAACTTCAGTTTTAGCAGGCGCAGCACGCCTAGAGGATGGAAAATACTCGAATCACTTGATCGAGTCAACCTTCTCCCGCTGAGCTATTATACAAGGAGGAAGAAACGCATCCCGAATCAGGCAGCTTGAGTATGCTATCAGACCCCCCTCCTTTCATGCTTGAGCTTGTTTGGTTGTGCTAATGAATGAACGAGCTCCCCCTGGTGTCTTGCTAACCCAGAGTTCCCCAGCATGCATCAAGTCCTTCTGTCCCGTAAATTGCACAGCCGGGCGATACAAGACTCGGATCGCGCTTCAATTAGGTGCAACAGAGCTGGACTTGAAAGTTCAGCAAGATGCGACAACCCGTTAGAAAGGCCAGGCACAAGCTGCTTATTTTCTCACCGCTCGGACGTCTAGTTAGGCAAACGGTGTGCTGCTCCCTTCTTTGGTATTTTATCATTGACACCAATACCAGCAGAATACCCGGAACTAATCCGAACCAAAGGAAGCCTAGCACTATGGGCACTGCCATCACAAGGAATTCACCTGTCCACCGAGCGACAACACCCAGCTACCGGGAAACAGTCTTTGCAAAACGGAATTCCCCATCCCAGTGGAACGAGCCCCCCACACAGACCCTCAATCGCTCATACCCCCTAGACCACTGCAATTAATCTCCATCAAAGAAACTCCGTTTTCACAAAGACCTTCGACGGGTGACTGCACTCGAATTCGAACATGCCCCCACCAGCATACAAAAAATCTTGCGCCAGAAATTCCGAGATCTCAGCGCCGAAAGTATCCCCTCTATTGATACTTCCAAATGTCCTCTACGAAGGCGAACGCCAGCGGGAGCACCACCGCCCTGAACAGAAACCAGAAGAACATGGCAGTACCTACACCGACAACCCTCAAGCAGAAATACGAAGAAATATCCAGGACAGTAACTTCCTCTTAGTTTACTCGATTCCCTCGAGTGCAAGCTCACGACGGCATCCTACCACCCGCGATCCGTGGAGCCAATGCAACAAACCCGAGACCCACCACCGGGATCTAACAGGCAGGCCGGCGGACAGACGGGCAGAGAAGAAGAAAAAAACAACGCAGGAACCACCGACAGCAAATATTTGCCAGGCCTGTCATAGCGAATTTCAAAAACGGAAGCCGGACGCACAGTAGGCACGCACTACGTGAAATACAGTTCCAGGAACCAACACCCAACTCCGACTACAGCGAGATGCCGAACATGCTCCTATAATACACCAGGCACAAGGTGCAGATATAGGATAGCGACGGGCAGAGGGAGAGTAGTCCCGTTGGGAAAAGGAAAGAAAAAATAAACCGCGGCCTCTCCACCCACAACTTCGGATTCAGGATAAGAACCAGGGCCCCAATACCAATGCACTTGGCAGGTATCTAACGCCGCCAAAGTGAAGACCATCGTATGCGTTATTTCCATGCCCTCCCCCCCCCCCCTTCGCTACTGGACGGCCAGTGCCCCTCGCACCTTTTTTCCCAAGAAAAGCCTTGGGAGTAGGAAATCCCCCAGTAGCACACATACGGCATAGTTCCATAGCTTCACGTCGAGAAATCTCACTCTGGGCAACCGACACTCGAGAGTTACTTACTCAACCCGCATTCAGGAGGCTTTTTCTTTTTTTCTTTAATAAAAAAAAAAAAAAAAAGAAGAGAGAACAAGACGCTGAGTAATACAATAAGGCGAGGGGCAGTCAGCATCAGTAATA